ACAACCTGCCCCTGCATGACGTCTGGTCCCCGGGGTGCGGTCAGACTGCGGGGGATGCCTCGGGTGACAGAAGCTCTGCTGATGGGCTCATGGTGACCTCTGCTTATCTGGGATGAGAGGACGGGACGTGGAGACAGCACCCTGGTGGGAGCTGAGGGTGAGGGTGTGGGCAGGCTGGCCGGCATGGCCTGGAAACCAGAGTCCTGCCATCGAGGAGAGCGTGAACCCACCTCCCTTACTCACAGATGGCAAATTAAGGCCTAGAGGGGCAGTGACTTGTTCAAGGTCATCGGGCTCCCTCTCGAATTGACAGAGGTCCCCTGTGTGGAGTGCTTGGGTTTTTGGAACCTCAAGCCCTAACCCCTTATCCCTGCATCTCCTTAGCTTTTCCCTGGTCACTGTCTGGGTCCCAGCCGTCAGTGCTGGACGCACAGGAACCAGCATGAGCCGGGCAGGCACACAGCTGCTGGTGAATGGGTCCCGGGGCTCCCCAAATGCGGGTACCTTAGTGACTTATCCATGTTTACAGAAGAGTTTGGTGGTCTCCTGGCGCTGAGGGTCCAAGCGTCAGGTGCAGAGGGAGCAGCAGTGGCCGTGGACACCACAGAGGCCACCATGAGGGCCTTGGGACAGTGTGACACTACTGGCTGCAGCCCTGGGAACCCGTGAGAACTTGGGGAGTATATCCTGGAATGCCAAGTCCATCATGTCTGGTGACTCCTTGCCCCGGCTAACACACCATTGTCAAATGCAAGTACTGAGAAAGTACTGAGAAAGAAGAAACTGAACCCACAGCTCATCACCCAGAGAGACCCTTTGTTAGCACCTTGTAAGACTATTCCATTATTTTAGTCATGCAGAAATAAACATGCATACAAGCGTCGCCATGCTCAGCATAAAGATGTTTTGCTCAACGACAGGCCGCACGTGCCACGGGGGTCCCATACGATGACAGCAGCTCCACCAGGAAGCCTGGGCGTGGCCTCGGCTCTACGTCTAGGTCATGTGAGCGCAGTCGCTGACGGCCGCACAGTGATGACACTGCCTAGTGATGCGTTTCTCAGAATGCATCCCTGTGAGCAGCACGTACACCTTCCATATTGTACTAAATGTGCCTCATACGTCTATTCTACAACTGTCTGTGTGGCTTCACTGGGTCGTGTGAGGTCCTAGGGTGAAGTCACAGATTTTTCCATGGTGCCCTTTTACTTTTTTAATATTACTATTATTATTATTTTTTATTATTATTATTTTGAGATGCAGTCTCTCCTTGTCGCCCAGGCTGGAGTGCAGTGGTGCAATCTCAGCTCACTACAACCGCCGCCTCCTGGATTCAAGCAATTCTCCTGCCTCAGCCACCCAAGTAACTGGGATTACAGGCGCCCAACACCACGCCTGGCTAGTTTTTGTATTTTTAGTGGAGATGGGGTTTCACCTTGTTGCCAGGCTGGTCTCGAACTCCTGACCTCAAGTGATCCACCCGCCTTGGCCTCCCAAAGTGCTGGGATGACAGGCGGGAGCCACCGCGCCCAGCCTGTGGTGCCTTTTTAACACACGCTGCATGTGCCATAATCACTATCGCAAAAGTCTCCTGCTTGGAGACTTACATCCTTCCTTAGTTGTTATATCTATTTTTAAGATGGGGTCTCAGCTGGGTACGGTGGCTCACATCTGTAATCCCAGCAGCACTTTGGGAGGCCAAGGCAGGCAGATTGCTTGAGCCCAGGAGTTTGAGACCAGCCTGAGCAACATGGCAAAACCCTGTCTCTATTTAAAAATTAAAATAAATATTAAAAATAAAACATAAAAATATGAGGTGAGGAGATCGAGACCATCCTGGTCAACATGATGAAACCCTGTCTCTACTAAACATGCAAAAAATCAGCCGGGCGTGGTGGCGGGTGCCTGTAGTCCCAGCTACTCAGAAGGCTGAGGCAGGAGAATAGCTTGAACCAGGGAGTTGGAGGTTGCAGTGAGCTGAGATCACGCCACAGCACTCCAGCCTGGTGACAGAGCAAGACTCCATCCCCACAAAAAAAAAAAAAAAAAGAAAAAAGAAAAACACGCACACAAAAAATAAAGATAAAGATGGGGTCTTGCTCTGCCACCCAGGCTGGAGTGCAGTGGTGCAGTCACAGCTCACTGCAGCCTCAAACTCCTGGGCTCAAGCGATCCTCCCACGTTGGCCTCCCAAGTAGCTGGGACCACAGGTGCACACCACGGTACCCAGCTTCAGTTGTTAAATTTTTTTATTGAAAGTTACATTGCAATGAATGTCACTATACCTCTAAACTTGCTTCTGTGCCTAAAGATAATTTCCCAATGAAACTTTTATAGAAGTGGGATTTCCAGGTAAAATGGGCATTATATTTTATTGTTTTTGTTTTTTGTTTTTTTGGTTTTTTTTGAGATGGAGTCTCGCTCTGTCACCAGGCTGGTGTGTAGTGGCACCATCTCGGCTCACGGCAACCTCCACCTCCCTAGTTCAAGCAATTCTCCTGCCTCAGCTTCCCGAGCAGCTGGGACTACAGGTGCACGCTGCCACACCCGGCTTTTTTTTTTTTTTTTGTATTTTAGTAGAGACCGGGTTTCACCATGTTGCCCAGGCTGGTCTCCAACTCCTGAGCTCGGGCAATCCACCCACTTCGGCCTTCCAAAGTGCTAGGATTAGAGGCGTGAGTCACGCACCTGGCTGCATTATATTTTAATGACATTTACATCTTTGCAAACCCAGCTGGCGAAATGTTACCTCATTTCAACTGGTGTTGCATTGATGCCTAGCAATGGGAATGGTTGCCTGTATTTATTGCTCATTTTTGGTATTTGCATATTTTTAGTTGGTGTTTTCTTCCCATGGATTGATACGGCTCTGTATGAATTAAACATACTAACCTTTGATCTGTAATTTACTTGTCAAATATTTCACCCTGGTTTGTAGACGTTTGTTGTTTATTTTTGTTTGCAGTGTTTCTATAGAGGGTTTAATAGTTTCCCACCATGCAGCTGGTTGTATTCGTTTTTTGTCTTTGTGACCGCGATGGATGGTTCGATGGTGACTGCAGTCAGGGGCTCAGGAGCGTCTGGGTCTGCAGCTGTCTTCTCAGCCAGGCACTCTCTCGTATTGATGGAGGTCCTCTGTGTGCAGGACTGAGGAGACCACCTCGGCCAAGGTGGACCACCAGTTGAGCGTGGCTGGGATGCTAGCAGCCCCCAACCCTGCAGGCCTGGGATGAGGCAGCCTGGGGAGGGAGGGGACTCTGATTTCTCCTGATGGTGGGCCTGGATGGGCTGGAGAGGACTCGGGCCTCGGCCCAGAAGGTATTCCAGGTGCCACAGAGACCACATTCAAGGTTGGAGGCCGGCCCGGGCTGCCTATGTGAGGCTGGGGATGCTGACCAGAGGCCAGCTCCTGCACATGAGTCCTGGACACCAGGACAGTGGCGTACAGCCTGCACAGAGGCAGCTGGACAAGGCTGTGGGGGTGTCCTGCACAAGGAGGACCCCGGGTTAACGCGCCAGTGTGGCAGGAGGATGGGCTTGAGGTGTGGGTGTGGGGTGGGTGAGGGGCAGGTGTGAGGGGTGGGTGTGGAGTGGGTGAGAGGCAGGTGTGAGGGGTGGGTGTGGAGTGGGTGAGGGGCAGGTGTGAGGGCTGGGTGTGGAGTGGGTGAGAGGCAGGTGTGAGGGGTGGGTGTGGGGTGGGTGAGGGGTGGGTGTGGGGCGGGTGAGGGGTGGGTGAGGGGCAGGTGTGGGGGGTGGGTGAGGAGCGGGTGTGGGGTGGGTGAGGGGCGGGTGTGGGGGTGGGTGTGGGGTGGGTGAGGGGTGGGTGTGGGGTGGGTGAGAGGCAGGTGTGAGGGGTGGGTGTGGAGTGGGTGAGAGGCAGGTGTGAGGGGTGGGTGTGGGGTGGGTGAGGGGTGGGTGTGGGGTGGGTGAGGGGTGGATGAGGGGCAGGTGTGGGGTGGGTGAGGGGCGGGTGTGGGGTGGGTGAGGGGCGGGTGTGGGGTGGGTGAGGGGCAGGTGTGAGGGGTGGGTGTGGGGTGGGTGAGGGGAGGGTGAGGGGTAGGTGAGGGGCAGGTGTGAGGTGTGGGTGTAGGGTGGGTGAGGGGCAGGTGTGAGGTGGGTGAGGGGCAGGTGTGGGGGTGGGTGAGGGCGGGTGTGGGGTAGGTGAGGGGCAGGTGTGGGGTGGGTGAGGGGCAGGTGTGATGGGTGGGTGTAGGGTGGGTGAGGGGCAGGTGTGGGGGTGGGTGAGAAGCAGGTGTGAGGGGTGGGTGAGGGGCAGGTGTGAGGGGTGGGTGAGGGGCAGGTGTGGGGGTGGGTGAGGGGTGGGAGAGGAGCAGGTGTGAGGGGTGGGTGAGGGGCAGTTATGAGGGGTGGGTGAGGGGCCTGCACAAAGGCCCCACCTTTGCTCCCCGCCTGTGTCGCAGGAGGCAATGAAGTGCAGTGTGTGGGGCCCTAGCAGCTCCCCTGGCAGTGGCTGAGGGCCAGTGCTTCTGTCTCCCCCGGGAATGGGCAAATGGTGGCTCCCGTCCCCACGTGGGAGCTGCGCTGGCTGGGGAAGGTCTGGAGAGTCGGGCTGCGTCTCCCCCATGCCTCTGAGAACGAGGAGGAGGCACCTTGCACGTCAGGGCAGGGAGGGGAAGTGATCAGGCTGCTCCGGTGAGGTAGGCCTTGTGCTCAGCTTGCTGGCCCCAGTGTGCCCTGGGGTCGGCCTCAGAGGCTGTGTCGCTGGAGTGGAGGTGGGGGGATGGGGGGATGGGGAGGCCGTTCTGAGGCTCCTGAAGGGCGCCTGGGTCCGGCCTCCACCTGGACTGGTGGATGTGCTTCTGCTTCTTCTCAAGGGTCAGGGGCCCCCAGGGCTCCTTTCAGGGCTGGGGTGGGAAAGTGCTCCCTTCCCCACCATCAAGGCTGCAGCTGCAGAGCCCCGGGCGGAGGCCTGGCGAGGGTCTGCTGTCTCAGCCACCTGCCCTCCCTGGCTCCTGCTGGATGAGAAATAAATGCAGAGGTCAGAAGAGGAAGTTAGAAGCCTTTATTTCTGGTGCGGCTGTGGGTGGCAGACTGGTCTCCGGTCCTCGGCCGGGCTGCCGGGGGTTGGGGCCTGTTGGTGGGTGGGCCGGCACTGACAGGAGAGGGCTGAGTGCCCAGGCCCATCCCACAGAGAAGCCCTCCTTGGCCATGGTTGGGAGATGCAGCCAAAGGACAGTCAGGCTTCCTCCTCGTGACAGCGGGGCTGGGCAGGGAAGGCTTCCCGGAGGAGGCGTCATTGTCCACTGAGAAGCACCGTGGGGCCTGGCCACTGCCTGTGTGCCTGCTCGGAGCTGGGCAGGGCTGGGCCCTTCAAACTCTGCTGCAGCCGTGGGAGGACAGCGGGGTGGGGGGCGCGGAGGGGTAAGGGCTGTGGCCGGGTGGAGGTGTGGAGGGGTGGGGGACGCGGTGGGGTGGGGAAGATGCTGGGGGGACCACGGGGGCGGCGTGGCCGGGCCCACTGGGTCACTGGTACTGGTTGGGGGAGGACAGCGTGTTGCAGCGGCTGTGGGACATGTCCTCGTACACCACACACGCTGCCGAATTCTTATCCCGCGACGAGCACAGTTTCTTCATCTGAAAGACAGAACCTGCTGTTTCCAACCAGGGGCCAGTGTGGTGTCCTAGACCCCACCCCACTCCGGTCAGCTTTCTCAGTTTAACACGAGACCCCCACGGGACTCCTCTGGGCCGGCCCCCAGGTCTCCTGAGCCCCAGGGCTTCCCAGCAGAGCCTTCCCGGGACAGGACTGGGTCGGACTCCAGGGCGCCATTGAAGAAGGAGAGTGGAAGCGGCTTGGACTGCCCCCCACAGCCCAGGCCAAGCAGGGCCCCCACTCCAGCCCCAGACAAACAGCAGGGACCGAGGGCAGGGGCCACGGCCTAGACTCTGTGTCTGTCTGAGGCTCCCTTCCCTTCCCACAGCCACACAGCACGCCCGCACACTCCAACACGCACACACAGTCCTCAGAGACCCCCCACACTCACACCTGCGCATGCGCACACGTGCACACATGGGCCCAGAGCCTGGGCGCTCCCTCCTCCGCCTACGCACTCCAACAAGCACACATAGTCCTCAGAGAACCCCCCCACACTCACACCTGCACATGCGCACACGTGCACACGCGGGACCAGCACCTGGGCCGCTCCCTCCCCCTCGGGTCGCTTTGGTGCTGGTTTCCCTCCCTCCCTGCCAAGGCCACTTCCACCCTGAGAGCTCCAGGGCCTGCAAAGGAGGCAGCGGGTACTGGGGCTTTCCTCTGGGGCTTTGGCGCCCTCCACACTGCTCTCAGGAGAGGGAACCATCTGTGGGGGTGCAGGTGGCAGCAGGGGCTCACACTGACCTGCGTCCTCACCAGCACACAGGCCACCCCCAGGGCCAGCCCGAGGAGGAAGGAGACCACTGCCAGGGCCACAGGGAGGGCAGAGGCTGTCGGCAGGGCAGGGAGGGCAGAGGCTGTTGGCAGGGCAGGGAGGGCAGAGGTTGTTGGCGGGACAGGGAGGGCAGAGCCTGTCGGCGGGGCGTCCGAGCATCTGTGCAATCCTTGGGACTGTTCCTCTGGGAAGGAAGAAGGAAGGAAGGGATTCTCCCAATGGAGAACCTGTTAGAGTCCCCGGGGTTTCGGGTTCAGGGCAGGGAAAGGCTGTGGAGCAGAGGAGGGGCAGCTATCTAGGAGGCTGCTGGGGACGGTGGGCTGGGAGCTGGAACAGTTCAGGCACGTGTAGGAGGCAGGGTCCCCCGACAAGGGCTGGGGGAGCAGAGCCTGGCCAGCAGCCTGGGTTGGGGGGGGTGGTCTGGGATGGGCACATTCCCTACCTGTCACCAGGACCAGGGTACCGGAGCCGTAGACATTGATCTCCGTGACGGCCTGGCAGGTGTAGGTGCCAGTGTCCGACGGCTGCAGGTGGTGCATGGTAATAGTCAGGTTGTCCTGGGACCCCGAGAAGTCAATGCGGCCCTGGAACCGTTTGTCCGTAGTGGGCACCACCCTGTCCTCGTAGTAAATGATGTTTTGGGGCTGTGGCCCGAGCTGCCTCAGGTAGATCCCATGCAGTTCCCCGCTGGTGGAGCAGGTGATGTTGACGGAGCCTCCCACGGGGGCAATCGTGCAGTGGGGAGACTGCTGCACCTCTAGGGAGGACCTGGGCTGTCACCACCAGTCGGGCCAGAAGGACAGAGAATGTCCTTCCTGCAGGGGACAGTGGTGGGGACGGTGGGGCCCTGGGACAGCCCAGGGATGACATGTCGCCACAGACACGGTGCCTTTCGGGGCGTGGAGCAGATCTGGGCACCAGCAGTGGTGCTGTGCTTCTTCCTCCCAAAGCAGTGGCCCTGCCTGGACAGCCCCAGCCACTCCCCAACGGGGTCCACCCTTCTTCCTTCTCTTAAACGAGTCCCCAGACACTGTAGGCCGCTCGGCACCCCACCCGCTTCCTGGGGGCTGTGCTGTGGCCCAGGTTGGGGGCGCTGAGCTCACGGGGCAGGGAGAGCTCCGGAGCTGTGGCCATGGAGGGTCTGGGAAGCTCTTACCTTGGGCGGCCAGGGCCCCAGGCAGGCCACGAGCCAGCGCCAGGAGGAGGGGCAGCAGCAGGAGCCTCGGGAGCCCGGCCATGTTCCCCACACCCAGCTCTCCCAGCCTGATGAGTGCAGCTGAGCCCCTCTGGGTCTGCAGGACCCCACAGAGAGCAGCACACGGGAGACCGCAGGCGCTCAGAGCTCAGAGAGGGCTTCCTGGAGGCGGTGCCTCAGACCAGGGTAGTGATGTGGGCCCCGTGGGAGGGGCAGCCTCACCTACCCCTCCCCAGCACTGCTTCCCTGAGAGCCGCCCTGAGATCAGGGTGTCCCTGTCCCTCCCCGCCCCTGCAAATCCACAGGGAGGAGGTCAAGGCCTGGGGCTGGGCAGACGAGAGGACAGAGAAGGGACCCCCTGGCTGGGGATGGGCGACAGGGTCTGGAGGTGAGGGGCAGGGCTGCCCCCCAGCCTGCCTGGTCCTCTGGGGTACTTTCTGCTGGAACCCACCTTATGCCCAGAAATCCGGAGTCACCCATGAGTCACGCACACAGTGCACAGGAGCGCAGGGCAGGCCAGAATTAGCACCCCCTGGTTTGGCCGTGGGGAAGGAGGCTGGGCCTGTGCCCGTGCCCAGCACTGCAGCCGACCAGCCAACCGTGGCACTGTGTTCCACGTCCTGGGGACGAGAGGGCTGAGCCATGGTCCAGGCCTGAGGTTCCCCCACCTCCCTGGGAGGAATGTATCAGGCCACAGTGCCCAGCTTCAGGGGCTGAGGGAGACCTGTGCCTGGCTCTAACCCCAGGGGGACTGAGTCCTCTGGGACGGGCACTTCTCTGTCCTGACGGCCTCCCACCACAATGACAAAGCGTTGACGTCGGTGCCCAAAGCCAGCAGGTGCAGCACATGAGCAGGAGCCTGTGGACACTCGTGTGTGCAGAGACAGGTGTGTGTGACTCGACTCGTGTGCAGAGATGGGTGCACGTGACTCCACGCGTGTGTGCAGAGACGGGTGTGTGTGGACACATGTGTGTGCAGAGACGGGTGCGTGTGGACACGTGTGTGCAGACGGGAGCGTGTGGACACGTGTGTGCAGAGATGGGTGCGCGTGACTCCACATGTGTGTGCAGAGATGGGTGCGCGTGACTCCACGCGTGTGTGCAGAGACAGGAGCGTGTGGACACACATGCGCAGAGATGGGTTGCGTGATTCCACGTGTGTGCAGAGACGGGTGCGTGTTGACACGTATGTGTGCAGAGACAGGTGCACGTGACTTCACACGTGTGTGCATAGACGGGTGCGTGTGGATGTGTGTGTGCAGAGACGGGAGCATGTGGACACGTGTGTGTGCAGAGACGGGTGTGCGTGACTCATGCATGTGTGCAGAGACATGTGCCCATGACTCACACGACTCACACACGGACTTGCAGCCCTGAGCTGCTTCCCCAGAGGTCCCAGCCACAGCAGCCGGTGCAGAGACACTGGTGGGGCTGTGGGGTGGTGCAGGTTTTCTGCTGGGCTGAGGGTCCTGCAGGAGCCGGTTTCCCTCCCCCAGGCTCTCCATAAACAAGAGACAGAGGATTTGGGGGCAGAATCTTGCCCAGAGGCCCCGGAGCACCCTCACGAGGCTGTGGCGTGAGGCGGTGGGTAACAGCGCTTTACAGAGAAGCCCCTCCTCTGGCCTTTGCTCCATGCATGCATTGGGTCACCAACATTCACCGAGCGTCTTTATGCCAGCCTCTGTGCCAGGAGCAGGGGACAGTGTGGACCAGGGGCCCTCCCGCCTGGAGCTGACCTCAGGGAGGCCAGGTGGACAGCCAGCAGGACACGGGCGTGGGTGTGGCCCTCAAAGGCCAATCCAAGAAGGGGTCCTGGGTGAAACCAACTGGGGCCCCGGGGAACAGCATTCCAGGCAGAGGGATGAGCAGAGTAGAATCCCTGAGGCCAGAACGTGCCCGGTGTGTCTGAGGACAGCGTGGGGCCGGGTAGGGTTGGGGGGGTGCAGAGGGAGACACAGACCCCCCACACCGAGGGGGAAGGCAGCATGAGGACCAGCAGTAAATCCCAGAAGGGAAAACAGAAACAGAGATAAGCCACCAGGAAAAGATGAAAATCCTCAGGGACTCCAGCCCCAGGCTCTCCTCCTGGGTTTCCTGCCTGGGTGTGCAGGGGACATCGTGACCACCGTGTGCCCCACCCAGACGACCGATTTCAAAATGACCTTGAGGCCGGGCGCAGGGGCTCATGCCTATAATCCCAACACTCTGGGAGGCCAGAGTTGGAGAATCGCTTGAGCCCAGGAGGTTGAGCCATGATCACGCCCCTGCACTCCAGCCTAGGCGGCGGATCTAGACCCTATCTCCAAAAAAAAAAAAAAAAAGAAAAGAAAACTTTGATTGTGATCCCCATACGGGGGTCCCGGGTGCACGGGGGTCCCTGCCGCACGGGGATCCCGGGCGCTGTGCCCAGAGGACATGATCTGACCCAGCAGAGTCCCGAACCCAGCACGCGGACGGGAACCTTATTTTAACCTGAGACACAAACGCGCCCCTTCTGGACCCTGGCTACGGCCCTGACCCTCCGGGCCGCCGGCTCCGCGAGGTCTCGGTCACCGGGCGACGCTGTGTCCCTGCGGGATCTCCAGCTGGCTGGGGGCTCCCCGTGTCTTCATCTTGAGGACACCTTAGGGACGTTTGGGGGCTTAAATCCACTGAAGACGTTTCTTTCAGATTTTTGTTTTTCATTTTAAAAATTGCATTTCCCAGCTACTTGCAGGTTTGTGAGTCGGTTGTTTTCTTCATTTCAGAGATTCAAGTCATGGAACCTTTTCAAAGAACTGAAGGGGGATTCCCAAAGTTATTTTTTTCACCCGATACATATCAAGATGTCAAAGGGCTCTGCCGCAGTGACGAAGACAAAAGCAGGAACAGATGTGGGTCCAAGGAGGCCTGGCAGGTGGGGTGGGCACGAGGGACCGACTCCCAGGCGGCCAAGAGACTGAGGGATGCACGTCCAGCCCCGGAGGGCAGCGTCCGCCTGACTCCCAGCCCGAGCCACCACCGCCTCCTCCCGGCCCGGCCTGCGCTGCCCCCTGGCGGTGGGGCCAGGAGCCATCCCAGACTCTAACCCCCGCACCCCACCTTGGCCCCTGGGGCTCCCGCGGAGGGGCCCCCAAAGCCTGCCATTGGTCATAGGCATATGCAGCCAAGGCCTCCTACAGCCCTGAACTGGAGTGTGTCTGAGGTTCCGGCAGCGGCCCCCTCACTTGGGCATGGAGGCTGGACTCAGGCTGGGGTGGCAGAAAGGGAGCCCGGGTCTCCGGGTTTGATGAGGGCGGAGGGAGGGGCATGGGTCCTGGTAGGTCGCGTGCTGCGGAGGTGAGCTGTTCCTATTTTGGAAACTGAGGAAACAGAGCTTGGAAGACCAGGGGGGTGGAGGGGAAGGGTCTGCACCCGCCCTGGAGTGGGTGACGCAGGGGCCCAGCCTGCCACCAGCTCTCCCAGACCCTCCCAAGCAAGCCAGTGTCTGTGCCCTCCGGGTGGGACTAGAGACCCAGGCCCTGCCACCCAAGGTTGGCACTCAGGGCCGGCTCGCCGGTGTCCTCTCTGCCTTTTTTTTTTTTTTTTTTTTTTTTTGAGACGGAGTCTCGCTTTGTCGCCCAGGCTGGAGTGCAGTGGCCGGATCTCAGCTCACTGCAAGCTCCGCCTCCCGGGTTTACGCCATTCTCCTGCCTCAGCCTCCCGAGTAGCTGGGACTACAGGCGCCCACCACCTCGCCCGGCTAGTTTTTTTTTTTTGTATTTTTAGTAGAGACGGGGTTTCACCATATTAGCCAGGATGGTCTCGATCTCCTGACCTCGTGATCCGCCCGTCTCGGCCTCCCAAAGTGCTGGGATTACAGGCTTGAGCCACCGCGCCCGGCCTCTCTGCCTTATAGGTGGTTATGGGTCTATGGCATCTGGAAACAAGGGTTGTGGGGACAGCAGCTCCAGGGCTCCAAGTGCTGAGGGTTTGACCACCAGTGCCGGCGGCCTCGGAGTAGGCTTGGGGTCTGGGGTCCACAGGCCAGGGGAGGCTCTGCTCAGGCCCTGCTGTACTCCCACTCTGAGGACTGGGGTTCTAGGAAGAAGACCTTCATCTGCGGGGGGAGGAAGGAGGTGCCTGCGTGAGCTGCAACCCCCGTGCCCACAGCTCTGCCCTCAGGCGTGCGCTCACACTCATGGGCATGCTTGCATGTACACGCACACTCCCACCCCCAGGTACACCCCGTGCCCTCACAACACACACCCCTTCCACACACCCCCAGCCCTCACCTTGGTTTTGAGCCTGCTGGAGGTCGAACCCACTTCGCACGGCGCCCTAAGCAAGAGGTTCCCTTGGCTCGGAAACTCCAGGTTGTGTCCCTGATGGAGACCACATGCCCTGCCATGCTGCCCTCCAGGGAGTCCTGGGGACAGCGAGGGTTTGCAGGGAGGGCAGGGCGGGTCTGGGGAACCTGGCTGTGTATTCTTGACCACAGCCAGCTGGGCCCCTAGAGGGGACGGGCTCTCTGGGACCGGTGCTCCCCCAACCCTCTCCTGGAGCCCCGGCAGGTGCAGGACAGTAAGGCTGAGCTCAGCCTGGGGCGGCCCCACCCAAGACCTCCCACCCCCACACACGGGGGTGCAGGGCCTCCTACCTCCTGGCGTTGCTGCGAACAGCGGCACCTGTACCAGGCGAACATGACCGTAAGAACCAAGAGGATGAAGACAGCAGTGACCACCACAGGCACAGGCCAGGACCCAGCGTCGGGGGTGGACTGGGGTTCTGCACCTGAAGGAGGCAGTTCAGCGGTGGACAGGTGGGTTGGGCATCCCCCACCCCTAACCTCCTCCTCCTGCACAACCCCTGGGGTGAGAATGAGCCCCAGAGGACTGCACCGCCCTTGCCCAGGAGGTACAGGAGTGGGAGGGAGCCAGGAGGAGAGGGGGTGCAGGACCACAGAGGTGGGAGGAGACCCAGGGCACGGGTGCCTCGGGGCAGCGAGGGAAACATCTACCCCTGGACGTCCGCTGGCCCCGTCCTTCAGGCCTTGGGGCTCTGGGGAAGAGATGCAAGGGCAGGTGCGGGGCCTGCCCTGATGCGGCCCCCACAGGGCCAGGTATCTGAGAAGCCCCATACCTGAGTCCAGGAAGGGCTCACCAGATGCCCTGGGGGTGGGGAGCAAAGCGGAACCCAATTTGGGTGACCCGGGTGAGTCAGAGCCGGGTGTGGTGAAGGTGGGAGGGCTGGGAGGGGCCATGGAGGCTCCTGAACTTGCAGGAAAGGAAGGGGAGGGGTGGGGAGTGGGTCTGGGGACTGGAGGGGTCTGTGGCCCCGCACAGCCGTGTGGCTGCTCAGGGCCTAGGGAGCAGGTGGGAGGGGCTTGGAGGGCAGCACAGAGGGCCCGGGGGTGCTCTGCTGGCCATCACTGCTTTCTGGTTGAACCAAATAAGTAGCTGGCAGTGGCGGCTGTGGGCCCTGGGTCGGGGCAGAAGAGGCAGAGGGAGCAGTGGGCTGGGCGACTGGGGACACGGGTGGGGGGTGGTCATGCCTGTGTCAGGGGAGCTGAGGCAGAGAGTGGGGCAGTCAGCATCCCCTGAGGGCAGGAGGAGAGGGGTGGGGACAGGGAAGGGTGGGGCTGGCCCCAGCCCTGAAGACAGGAGGGGCGAGGGCAGGTGTGGTCCAGGCATTTGTTGAGGTGGACAGCAGGGGAGTGGGAGATGCGGGGCAGGACCGTGGCGGCCGGGGAGGCGCCAGTTCACGGTCACCAAGGGTGGTGGGCAGGTGATCTTGAGCACCTCTGGGTGACCCCAGTAAAGGGAGGGCAGGTGCCTCGAAGCCAGGCGCTGCGGGTCCGGAGGGCCTCTCAGAGCACAGGCATTTGGGGTGCAGTTTCCCCGCACAGCCGGGGTGGGTGTGGCGGGGAGGCGGGGGGTGCCTGAGCTTCCTGGCTGCCCTCGCCCCGACAGGCAGGTGGGGTTCCTTCGAGGAGCAGAGGCTTTGTGTTCCGTGTTGTTGGTGGGGCTCGGGCTGCCTCTGTGGGTCTGTGCCCCCCAAGCCTCTGGCCTGTCCCCTGCCTCTCCCGAAGGGAGAACTGTCCCAGGAGGTCAAGAGGCCTCCACCCCGACTCTCCACTCCGGCACCCCGTCTCCTGGCAGCCCCGCTTACGCCTGCTCTTCCTCCTCCTCCTTCCCTCTCAGTCTCAGCCCTCCCCCTGCCCAGGCCCCCTCCCCTCCCTGTGTCCCCTCTCACTCCCTCCCCCTTGCTTCCCCGAGCCTCCCCTCACCTGAAACCTCCAGTGTGACTTGTCTGTTATTTCTCTGGCGTCCCACGAGGTGCCAGGTGTACAGCCCAGCGTGGGAGTCCCGGGTGCCTTTGATCACCAGCTGGGCCACGCCTCCCTGAACTTGGAGCTGCCAGCCATCCCGGGAGAAGTAGCCTGGGGCCACCTCATTGAAGATGGTGCTCTCCTGCCCCTGGGCACGCAGCTTGATGATGACATGGGAGAAGGCGTTGGATATGTTGCAGGTCATGACAGTGTTCTCGCCCCGAGACACAGAGACCACCCCCTCTGTGCAGATGGGGCTGTCCCAACCTGTGGGGCCAGACAGGGGCACGCACGGATCAGGGCTGGGCCTCAGGGCACTGGCTGGCTGCTGTGCCCAGGGCCAGGACCGGGGCAGGAGACAGGGCCTCTAAGGGACACGATGACTATGTATACATCCATCCGACCCAATCAGCACATATGTCTCGTATGGGAAGAATAAAATAGCAGCCAAAAAGAAGGGTGGCTCTGTGTGTGTTTGTGTGTGTGTGTGTGTGTGTGCGTGTGTGTGTGTGTGTTTGTGTGTGTGTGTGTGCGTGTTTGTGTGTGTGTGTTTGTGTGTGTGTGTTTGTGTGTGTTTGTGTGTGTGTGTGTTTGTGTGTGTGTGTGTTTATGTGTGTGTGTGTTGTGTGTGTTTGTGTGTGCACGTGTGTTTGTGTGTTTGTGTGTGTGTGTTTATGTGTGTGTGTGTTGTGTGTGTTTGTGTGTGTGTGTTTGTGTGTGTGCGTGTTTGTGTGTGTGCGTGTTTGTGTGTGTTTGTGTGTTTGTGTGTGTGTGTGCGTGTTTGTGTGTGTGTGTTTGTGTGTGTGTGTTTGTGTGTGTGTGTTTGTGTGTGTGTGTTTGTGTGTGTGTGTTTGTGTGTGTGCGTGTTTGTGTGTGTGTGTGTGCGTGTTTATGTGTGTGTGTTTGTGTGTGTGTTTATGTGTGTGTGTTTGTGTGTGTTTTGTGTGTGTGTGTTTGTGTGTGTGTTTGTGTGTGTGTGTGCGTGTTTGTGTGTGTGTGCGTGTTTATGTGTGTGTGTGTTTGTGTGTGTGTGTTTATGTGTGTGTGTTTGTGTGTGTGTGTGTTTGTGTGTGTGTGTTTGTGTGTGTGTGTGTGTGTTTGTGTGTGTGTGTGTGTGCCCTCATACCCATGTCTGTTCCTTGGGGTGTGTCAGCTTGGATGAAGACATTTCCTATCAACTCCCTCCCCTGTACATTTCCACTGGGGTGGGCGAAGCCAGACCCTCAGGGGTGTGCCGGGCGACTGCGCTGTGGCAGGAGTGCTGCTGCTGACCTGCCGAATCACCCTCTTCATGGGAAGCAGTGGCCAAGCCCCACCTCCCTCAACTCCCCCCTCAGTTTCTCCAAGGCCTAGGCCAGGTGCAGGTGCTTGGCTGTGTGAGGAAGGGCAGGACTTCTGCGGACACCCACAGGCCAGCCTCAGAGGCCAGCAGAGCAGACGCAGGTTCCAGTCTGTCTTTGTGGGACCCAGCCTGTGCCGTCCCCAACATCCCCTTCCCGGGCGCCCACTCAGCTCCAGGCGCCTGGGCCAGCTCCACACACAGCTCCACAGTCCGGGGAGGTCAAGCTCTTGTAACAAGCCAGTGTGTCAGTCTCTCTCTCCCGCCTCCTGGGTGCACCCTGCCCAATAGCGACCCGTGCAGCTGCTTCCCTCAGAGGGCCAGGGCCTTTGCCCCAGCAGCCAGCTCAGGGATGCCCGAGGTTCAGGTTGTGTGGCCCCGAGCACGGCACCAGCGTGGGGTCTTGGTGCTGCCACTGTCCCTGCTGCGTCAGCGTCCCCTGTGACTGGACACGGACGGATGGACGGACGGCAGGGTGAGCTCTTGGGGAGCACACAGCGTGCTGAGTGGAGCCACCATTTGGCCACATTTCACCAAATACAAAACCACATGGCAGGTGCCACATGCTGGCAAGTGCCAGGGGCCTTGGTGCCCATGGGAGGGGGTGGGCTTCAGGGGCACCTGGCCTTCAGGCTGGACTGAGTTTCCTCGGACGAGCAGGCTGGCTGCCTGTCTGGGCGCTCTGAGTGTTCAGGGACCGCAGGGCCTCTACAGGCCGTTGCACAAATTCACACTGTCCAGAGAGCAGCGTGCGGCTGTCGGGGGGGGCCCAGCCAGTTGCACTTTGGAGCCACTCTTGGGGGGCGGGGCCAGAATCTCCCGAAACCTGGGTTCCTCCACCTGGGATTCTTCCGTTTCGGTTTTGTTTTGTTTTTTGTTTGTTCTTAGGATTCTGACTGAACTGCTTTGGGATGTGGTTTGGGATGTGGCTGAGCTCTGACACCTTTTGAAAGCCCCTCAGGTGGCTCAGTGGCTCACGCCTGTAATCCTAGCATTTTGGGAGGCCGAGTGGGAGGATCACTTGAGCTCAGGAGTTTGAGACCAGCCTGAGCAACATGGCAAAACCCTGTCTCTACAAAAAATTCACAGTTTAGCCAGGTATGGTGTGCATATCTGTGGTCCCAGCTACTCGGGAGGCTGAGGTGGGAGGATCACCTGAGCCTAGGAGGTCAAGGCTGCAATGAGCCATGACTGCACCACCGCACCCCAGCCTGGGTGTCCAGCCTGGGTGTCCAGCCTGGGTGTCCAGCCTGGGCGATAGAGGTAGACCCTGTCTCAAAAAAAAAGAAAAGAAAAGCCCCTCAGGTGACTTTGCTGCACAGGCTGGGGGTCTAGAGAGCTGGGAAGGATCTCACTGGGGGACCTTGTTCAAATGCCGATCCACTCCTGGCAGGCCTGAGATACGCCTAAGGAACCCCCAGGCCAAGGCTGCTGTCCGTTTCCCAGCCACAGCACAGTTCGTAACTGACCCAGACCCTCTCGCTTAGAAACTGGTCGTGATCTTGGTCCTTCCCCACAATTGCTCTGACAGTGACCACCAGTTACCACAGCGGCCACCGCTGCCCGTCATCCATGGCAAGACACGGCCGACCCACCACTGCCTCCATCCATGGTGGGACACGGCCGGCCCACCACTGCCCTCCATCCACGGCGGGACACGGCCGGCTCACCACCGCCTGGACCAGCTCCGCGTGGTCGGGCCTTGGGTCTGCAGAGTCAGTCATTATCGGAGGCCTGGTGGCGTCTGGACCCAACCTCAGTCCACCCCTCCCACCCCTGCCACGCCCCCACCGGGCTCCCTTTCCCCAGCAGAGAGGCAGGACCCTGAGACCTACCTTCATTCTGAGCACTCAAGGAGGCAGCCAGGAGCAGGAGGGCCCCAAAGGGCCAGGAAACGGGGCCGGGGAACACCAGGGGCCAGGTCTGCATGGCTGGCGGGACTTCAGCAGCCTCAGGGGCCCCTGGTCCTTGTCACTGGCTCTCGGGACACTCCCTGGAGGAAGGAAAGCCTGTGGGTCAGAGCCCCCTGTGGCTGCCAGAGGGGACAGTGGTAGTGGCTGTCGCCTGGCGGGGGCTGGGAGGCTGGGGGTCCCCACGCTCTTTCCTGAGTGGCTGTGCCTGGGATGCCAGAGCCTCCACCCTCCTTCCCTTCCCCGTGACTGTAGAGGGCGTGCGATGCTGGCTGCGTGAAACAAAGAAGACACATGGGGGCAGGAGACAGAGTCGCCCGAAGCACCGCGGGACATCTGACTTGTGGGTCAGCCCTTTTGTTTTACAATAAATTACTCATGACTGTCTGAGGGTGTTTCCTGTAGAAATGGGTCAGGACAGGTGGAAGCTTTGGTAGCCGCGTCTACCTGACACTGTACGAAGACCAGCTTCCCGCCCCAGCCCCTCACCAACGCGAAGCACAAAACCGATTCTCCGTCTACTTTGGAGCATGTGTGTGATATCGCTGCACGCCCAGGGCACAACCCCAGCCCCTCACCAATGCTCCTCCGTCTACTTATCCGTCTACTTAGGAGCGCGTGTGTGATATCGCTGCACGCCCAGGGCACAACCCCAGCCCCTCACCAATGCTCCTCCGTCTGCTTATCCGTCTACTTAGGAGCACGTGTGTGATATCGCTGCACGCCCAGGGCACAACCCCAGCCCCTCACCAATGCTCCTCCGTCTACTTATCCGTCTACTTAGGAGCGCGTGTGTGATATCGCTGCGCGCCCAGGGCACAACCCCAGCCCCTCACCAATGCTCCTCCGTCTGCTTATCCGTCTACTTAGGAGCACGTGTGTGATATCGCTGCACGCCCAGGGCACAACCCCAGCCCCTCACCAATGCTCCTCCGTCTGCTTATCCGTCTACTTAGGAGCGCGTGTGTGATATCGCTGCACGCCCAGGGCACAGCTTCATCATTACAATCCTCGGGTGTCTGCCTCCCCTGTGATGCTGTCCAGACGTCCAGTCACTCACAGAGACCCTCACATGAGCAGCACCCACCGTCCGCCTCCCCCAGCCAAGCCCAGCGCTGACCACAGCCTGTAGTCAGCACCCCCCCAGCCCATCTACCGGTCCCCCCTGCCCGTCCATGGGCCCCCCACCCCCAGCCCATCTACCGGACCCCCTCCCGGGGCAACCCTCAGTTGTGTTCCTTTCGAATCCATCGTTTACACCTCTGTGCGTTCCTAACACACAAGTCAGCTTTACCTCTGCTGCTCTCACTGGCAAGGCAGGCTGCTGGGCAGCTTCCAGCAGGCGAGCCTCCTTTTGCTATCTTGCCTTGGGCCTGCAAAGGCTGGGAGCCCCCAGCTGTGTGTCTCCTCTCCCGCCAGGCAGAGGCGGCTGCAGTGCACACACACATAGTGCCGGGGCAGGGTCAGAGAGGCAGGGATGAGCCTCTCAAGGGCCCCAGCGAGGTCCCAGCTTCTGTGCTTCCCTCGGGGCCCCACTCAGGCCCTGCATACAGTGGGTGCTGGATACATGTGGATCTGGGTCCCCTGAGAGCAGCTGGGGGATGAGGGTCCCTGTGTGGATGCTCCACAAAGCCCCACCTGCCCCCACGCAGGAGCTAGCTCAGCTTTGCACAGGAAAGTGCCCTAACCCTAACTCTATCAGTCCCTCTGGTGGGGTCTGGGCCGATGCCCATGCTGGTCAAAGGTCAGGTCCTCACCTGGACCAGGTGACGTGCTTTTGCATGAACCTGCTGACAACCCTGCTGGACTTTGAAAGGCACCAGGGAAGGGAAAATGAGGGGAGGCGGCCTGGGTCTGTTCCAGGTAGGGCAGAGGGCGAGGCCCAGCAGGAGCCCTGGCAGGACTTTCCCTTCAGCCAAGAGAACACCGCCTTCGAAGGAGGCTGGGGCAAGGGTTCCTGGCCAGGCTGCCCTGCCGCTCGGGTCCCTGCACCTCTGCTGGGAAAAGTCCCTAGGTAGGGCGGTGACTCCAGCCCTGCCTCTCCCAGCTCCCAGTGCACCCCACACACCAGCGTGCAGGGAACTCCCATGAGGGAGTTGTGTAAAGCGACCTTCAGACGAGCTATTTATAGATGTCTGTAGTTTTGTAGATGTGCGTTTCTCCAAACAAACAAACCGCCAGAAAGTGTCACAGCAGGACATGTCAACAACCCCGGGAACCCCATGTTACCAGGGGTCCTCCCAGAGGCTGGAGTCTGGGCCTGCTGAGGACCGGGCTTGCAGATGGGCTCCGGCCTTCTCGTCCCATTGCCCCAAGTGTCCCAGCCCCCTTTGAGCCTCCCTCTAGTCATCTCTGGGCCCTGCACAGCCACAGGCAGCCGCCCGGTCATTCCCACACTCTCACCGTGGTCCTGCCTCCACACGGAAACCCCTGCCAGCCGCGGAGGGCAGGTGTGGGGACACGTCCCTGCAGGTGGGCACGTCACCAACCCCGAGGTGCTGCTGAGGCTCGGGCATGGTCCCACGTTGGCGCAGGGTGGGGGTGCCGTGTCCCGAGGTCTGGGTTCCCCACTCCAGGCAGCTACCGCGCTCAGGATGAGTCCCCTCCCTTCTGTCGGACACCCCATCCCACCCTGCCGGGCCTGGGTTCGAGGGGAGGGAATCCATCCCGAGACCTTTTGTTGCCTCTCACTAACACCCGCTTTCCTGCTGTGACCCCTCAGGGCTGCTCAGATGGGCTTGAAGACAGGCTAGGGCCCCATCTCCCATCATGCATCTAGCGTTCTGGATTAGCTGGAAGCCCGATGGGGTCTCTCTGGGCTAAAATCAAGGGGTGGGCCAGGGTGGTCCCTTCTGGAGGCTCCAGGCGGAATCCGTCCCTCTCCGTCTCCAGCGCCCAGAGGCATCCGCATCCCTCGGCTCACGGCCCCTCTGCCACCTCCCCACCACCGCCCCCCAGCTGATTTCCTTGTCTCCCTGACTCCCCCTCCTCCCTCCCTCTCCTGGAGACCCTGTGATGGCATCAAGGGCCCCCCTGGGTGACCCAGGACACACGCCCCAGCTCAGCACCCGAGACTTCATCCCATCTGCACAGTCCCTTTGCCATGCCAGGTTCTGGGATGAGGACATGACATCTTTGGGGACTGGTAGCCGACCACAGAACCCCCATCCCCAATGCAGTGGGAGACCCAGGCCACCTGGAGACCCCCGCATGGAGGTGAGATTCACACAAGGAGACCGCAGTTGGGCCTGGGTCCGGCTCCCCTCACCCCACGCTCCACGATGCCAGCTCAGCACGCCCACCTTGGAGCCATGCAGATGGACAGCAGGGAGGGTCGGGGCTGCTGGGGGCTCTCCCACTGCTCTCCGCACCACCCACCGACTGTGTCCGGGAGGGGTGCCCTGCTGTTCTCCCCAGGCTGCTCTGGGGGGTCCTGCCCTCACCTAGAGCCCGAGGCCATCTGAGTCTGTTTCATAAACGCTTCCAGGGACTGCCCTGCCACTGTGTTAAGGGGGGAACTCTGGGCACACAGCCAAAGGTCACAGATCCCCAGAGCCCTGAGGGTGCTGCATCCACCCCACCTGCCCACCCAGGTGCTAGCTCTGCCACCTGCCTGTGTCCTGAGTCAGCCCTGACTCAGCAAAGAGCTGCACCGTGAACCAGACCTCAGCAGCTGGGTCCTGAAGGCCCCCGAGGGCCAGTTGCATGCACCTGGCTTCATGCCAAGCTCCTCCCGCCTGGCAGTGGCTGCATCTGCCTCCCCTCTGCCCTGAGTGTCCCAAGTCTGTCCGCTCTGTGTTCCATGGGGCCAGCAGTGCAGTGGAATCTCTGCTCTCAGGGGCTACAGCGGCTCCTAGATGCCTCTGCCGCCGCGGGTGGACCCTGCAGCTCCATTTCCCAGCCTTCCTGCCCGATTGCTTCCCGAAGACCCAGGGTCCTGGGCTGCCCTCGTTGGGGAGAGGGGGGTGGGAGTGAGAAGCTGGCACTGTCCCTCTTTCTGGCCTCATCCCCTCCAGGGACCCCTCTCAGCCCCTGGCAGCCTGGACTGCACCATTCTGGAGATGCTGCCTCCCCGCGGTCCCTTCAGCCCAACTGTGGTGGTGGCTGCTGCTTCTCACACGTGGATCCTCTCACTGCCTCTCCCCGATCCTCCCTTCCTCCCAGCACCTTCACCAGCTCCCCACTGAGTGCCCTCCGATGTTGGCGGCCCTGACCCTTGCCCAGCCAGGGGCGAAAGGGAGCAAGGGCTGGGCTGGAGGGTACCAGGAGCAGGTGGTGGTGCCCTCCCCATCAGTCCTCACCCGGCATGTGGCGGGAAAGGTGTGGAATGAGTCAGCCGTGGAGGGGAGCCCCAGGCCTGGAAGACCCCTGTCTTTGGCTTGAGAATGACTTTGAAGGGCTCAGCGGGAAGGGAGCTGAGGGGAGACAGGGTGGAGAGTGGCAATCTGGCTCTACTCTGAGGCTTTAGGCTGCGGACTGTGTGTGGCCCCAGCTCTGTCTGGGCAGCAGGTGTCAGGGACATTGGGTTGCTGCAGGGAATTTGCTCCGTTTATTAGAAGAAAACGCACCGGGCGACACAGGCCCCTCTCAGGTCATCAGGCATCAGTGTACCTGCACTTCTGGTCACATCTGAGTCTCAGATAAACAATCAACGATGTCCTGGTAAAAGCTTGTCCCGTGGGACACTTGGGACACACTTATATTAAAACACGATTAATGATCTCAAACTCAGATGTTGCTGGGTATCCTGTGTCAGCCCAGTCACTCTGCCCCTGTCTGCCTGAGTCCTCTCCTGCCATCCTCCTGACCAGAGGCGTGGGCTCGAGTTGAAAACCGTGCAGTGGCTAAAAATCAGAGACAGTGCAAGCGGCAGGGTGCAGCCACCGGGAAAGTGGCCAGGTGGGCGGTGACCGGCCCAGCAGCTCCGTTTATGGTACAAGGAGACCAGGCTCAGGGAGACCAGGCGCACGGAGCCTCAAAACTTCCAGAGTGGGCTGGGTGCGGTGGCTCATGCTTGTAATCCCAGCACTTTGGGAGACTGAGGCAGGTGGATCACCTGAGGTTGGGAGTTTGAGACCAGCCTGGACAACATGGTGAAACCAAGTCTCCACTAAAAATACAAAAAAATTAGCCAGGCCGGGTGGTGTGTGCCTGTAATCCCAGCTACTTGGGAGGCTGAGGCAGAATTGCTTGAACCCGGGAGGTGGAAGTTGTGGTGAGCTGAGATCGTGCCACTGCACTCCAGCCTGGGTAACAAGAGCGAAACTCTGTCTCAAAAAACAAACAAACAAAACAAAAACAAAAAACAAACTTCTGGACTGGGAAAAGATGGGGCAGCAATCAGATTTCTCCCAAACCACGGAAACAGGGGTCGGCATCTGAGGAGCTGGCACCAGACACAGTAGGGTCTGAATGCTCCCAGACCAGGATTGACGCACAGGCTTGGAGCCGTTCCCAGTGACACGCCTAGGAAAGTTCATGCACCACCCAGCAAGCCTGTGAGCGCCTATTCCCGCTCCTTGGTGCCCCGGGCACCTGCCTGTCCCGGCTCCCACAGGTGCTGGGTGTGTGGAAGCTCAGGTCCCCTCGGGCTGGGTTCACTGGGGTCCTCCTGTGTGGTCAGTGGACTCTCTACCCCCACAGCACCTGAGGGGTGGCTGACAGTGCTTTCCCAGCTGCTGCAGGGGCTCGGGGAACACAGGTGACCCCACATCTCTACAGAGAATGAGCTCACCAACACCTCTCAGAAGACAGCTGCAGCTCGCGGAGGCCATGAAGCCCACCCAGGCCCACGGTGTGGACGTCTCTGCCCTGGTGTCTGCTGGAGCGGCCCAGAGGGGACCCCAGGTGGTCAGCAAAGTCCCCTCAGGCCTGGGGGCTAGATCAGGCTGACCCTTCCTCCTCAGCATTTGCTCACCTGTCCCCTCTGTTGGTGGCCTCCTGTCCTCCTGCTCTGGGCTCAGCAGCGGCCCCCTGGAGAGGCCCTGCCACCACCCCCCCGCCCTGCTGGAGACAGGCCTCCTGCCCTGGCCCCCGCAGCCAGTCACCCTGGGCCTCCCAGAAGCCGAGGATCCTCTGCCGACGACGGGCAGAAAACGTGCTTCTCAAGCTGCAGGTGAATGACCAGTAGTGGGCAAGGAACTGAATGTGGACATTACTGCGGAGTCAGCAAAACCAGCGCCAGAAGGGGCAGCTGAGGGCCTGCCTGGGTGAGGGGAAGCCTCACGGTTCCTGTTTTATGAGTTTGCTGTGAGCGCACACGAAGCTGTGGCTGTGGAGTGTGCAACAGTCCACGCGTGCCTGCGTGTGCTCATGCGTGCGTGTGTCCACCAGCTCGTGTGCACTCGTGTGAGCAAGTGCGTTTTGCTCACAACTTGGTCGCAGCGACGGCGCAGGGAACCCCGGCTGAGGCCGAGGACCAGGAAAGGCGGAGGGGGCTCCGACCCACTGGACTTAGGGGAGCCCCGGGTCCGAGACGCCGCCTCTGTCCCTTCAAGAATCGAGCCCGGGGCGCAGGGCAGAGACGCGGGTCCCCACACGGCCTGTAGCTGGTTCCCGCCCCTCCCGGAGCGCGCCCGCTGCGCCCCCGCCCGCCTGGCCGGCGACTCGCGCTCAGGGCCGGGGGGGGGGTGGGTGACGGTCCCCGAGGCAGAGGCGCTGCAGCCCCAGAGTCCCCATCCCTGCGCGGACCGGCGACCCCGGTGCACCGAGAGGCCCTAACACAGAGCGCCCAGCACCGAGCCCCCAGCACCGAGTCCCCAGCACCGAGTCCCCAGCACCGAGTCCTCAGCATAGAGCGCCCAGCACCGAGTCCCCAGCACCGAGTCCTCAGCACAGAGCGCCCAGCACCGAGCCCCCAGCACCGAGTTCTCAGCACAGAGCGCCCAGCACCCAGCCCCCAGCACCGAGTCCCCAGCACCGAGTCCTCAGCACCGAGCCCCCAGCACCGAGTCCCCAGCACCAAGCCCCCAGCACCGAGTTCTCAGCACAGAGCGCCCAGCACCGAGCCCCCAGCACCGAGCCCCCAGCACCGAGTCCTCAGCACCGAGCCCCCAGCACCGAGTCCTCAGCACAGAGCGCCCAGCACCGAGTCCTCACCCCGGGGCACCCAGCACCAAGTTCCCAGCACCGAGCCCACTCCGCGCCCGCCCCTCTGGTTCCCCCGCCCGTCCCTCTCCGCGCCTCACCGGGTCCGCTGCGGGACGCGCTCCTCCTGGATGCAGCTTCTCCGGGCCCCGGAGCCCCAGGAAAATGAAACAGACGGGAGGGAGGGGCCGGGGAGGAGGCGGCGGACCCGCGCCGGACCCACCCCCCGAAGAGGAAGGAGCGGGGTTTACGGGAAGCCGCCGAGTTTCGGGAACACCCCGCGTTCGCAGCAAGCGTGACAGGGAATTTGCTGTTTTCACGCGAGGCGCCGCACCCGCGGTTCACGCTAAAGGCAGCGGGAAAACGGCCAGGGGCGTGTTTCCAGGAAAGTTCGCGTCTGGCGGGTCCAGCTCGCGCGCGGCGCGCGTTCCCCGCGGGGCAGGTTGGCTCCGCTCGCAGCTGCCGCGAGTCTGTGCACGGGGCGAGCTGGGCGGGTCGAGGGGGCCGCTGCGGGGCTGCGGGGAGCGGGGAGCGGAGAGCGGGGGCGGCCCCCAGATGGCCGGGGTGCGCGGGCAGAGCGAGCGGGGCAGCGGGAGGGTCAGAGGCCCTTTCACAAAAGCGCGCGGAGCAGAGGAGCGATCCCCCAGCTCCCGCGCAGAGGGTCCTGCACCTGCAGCCCGGGCCTTCGGGCGTCCTGAGGCCCCTGCGGAGGTGCTGGCCTGGCCAGTCCAGGAGGAGGGGCCCAGCCTGTTGGGGCAGGAGATGGGGTGCGGGTGGAAGGCTCCAAGATGCATCTGGGCTGGGAACGCACAGACACCCCAGGTGGGTTGAAGGTGGGTCGAGGAGGCCTGGAGGACCCGGTGCATGGTGGGGTGGCAGGCGGGCCACATCCTCCATTAGAACCCAAGGGGGCACGCGGGCAGGTGCGGGCGGGGTCAAGGATGAGGTGGTATCTTCGGGACACTAGGAGGAGGCCCCACAGGCTGCAGTCACGTCAGTGGGCAAGTCCCCACCCGGCAGATGGTGGGGGACACCGGGGTGTGGGCAATGCCCCCAGTTTCATGGAAGAGAGGAAGGAGCAGAACCAAATTCTGTGAAACCCTCAAATCTGGGGAATGGACAGAGCAGGGCCAGACTGGACGCTGAACCTTGGGGCCTGCAGCTCGGCCGTCAGACCCAGGGTCCAGGGGTGGATAGCACCCAACAGAGTCCCCCAGGATGTTCAAAAGAGAAACCGTCGCCAAATTGGCAGGTGAAACACAGCCTGTCATCCTCCCAGCAAGATGGCACCATGGCCGGGGCACAGAGGTCAGATTCCCCAGCTCCGCCCTCGGGGAACCCCCAGCCACCCGGGCTGCCAGTGAGATGCTGGAGAAGGGGCTGAAATCCCACCTGCCCACGTCCTCTGCACAGAGGGGCTTGTCTCCGAGGCCACACGCCCCGGCAGCCACAGCTTCCTTCTCCTCTTTTCCTGCCCACTAGGGTCTCTCAACTCAAAGGGGGCTCTAGTTCCTTGGGGCGGGGATTCCGGCTGCTTAGGTAGGAGCACCTGCACCGTGAGGCCCTGGAGGGCAGCTGAAGGCTGGCAGACTTTTGTCCCGTGATGGGACACCTTTGGGAGTTGGAGGAAAACGCATATCCTGATAAAGCAATCATGTTGTGAAAGTGAAACTAGTTTGTGTATTTTGTTTACTTTAGAAGTAATACAGGCACAGAAACAAAATAGAATGAAACCAACTGTTGCCTTTTCCTCCCCACCCTGGCTTCAATTCCCAGGGCTGAGTTATGGACACTGCCTCACTTATCCTTCCAGAAGTTCTCCTGGTCCATACAAACAGCACAGTCATCCACTCATGTTTCTTTATTTCTTTCTTTTTTTTTTAGACAGAGTCTCACTCTGTTGCCCAGGCTGGAGTGCAGTGCTGTGATCTCGACCACTGCAACCTCCAACTCCTGGGTACAACTGATTCTCCCGCCTCAGCCTTCTGAGTAGTTGGGATTGCAGGCATGTGTCACCACGCCTGGCTAATTTTTGTAGTTTTAGTAGAAATGGGGTTTCACCATGTTGGCCAGGCTGGTCTCGAACTCCTGACCTCAGGTGATCCACCTGCCTTGGCCTCCCAAAGTGCTGGGGTTACAGGTGTGAGCCACTACGTCTGGGCAGTATCTTTCCTTCTTCTTCTTTTTTTTTTTTTTTTTGTTTTTGAGACGGAGTCTCGCTCTGTCACCAGGCTGGAGTGCAGTGGCGTGATCTCGGCTCACTGCAAGCTCTGCCTCCCAGGTTCACGCCATTCTCCTGCCTCAGCCTCCTGAGTAGCTGGGACTACAGGCACCCGCCACCACACCTGGCTAATTGTTCTGTATTTTAAGTAGAGATGGGGTTTCACCGTGTTAGCCAGGATGGTCTCGATCTCCTGACCTCACGATCCACCCATCTTGGCCTCCCAAAGTGCTGGGATTACAGGCGTGAGCCACCGTGCAGGACCATATCTTTCCATTTCTATACAATGCTGGGATCAGGCATCTTAGGGTAGGTACGTGGCTCATTCCTTCACCCTCGGCCTGGCCTTGAATCACAGCCTCTGCTGCGCCAGGTGACATGTGGAGTTTCATTTCCTTTCTGTTCTAGGAATTTGTAGATTTTGGTTGTGATTTCCTATTTAACTCTCCAAATTATTCAGCAGCATATAATTAAAATCCCCAAGGTCCTGGAGCATTTGCTTTTCTTTTTTTTTGAGACGGAGTCTTGCTCTGTCGCCCAGGCTGGAGTGCAATAGTGCTCACTGCAACCTCTGCCTCCCTAGTTTAAGCGTTTCTCCTACCTCAGCCACCCGAGTAGTTGGGACTACAGGCACCCGACTAATTTTTTTTTTTTTTTTGGTATTTTTGATAGAGACTGGTTTCACTATGTTGGCCAGGCTGGTCTCGAACTCCTGAGCTCAGGCAATCCGCCCGCCTCAACCTCCCAAAGTGCTGGGATTAGAGGCATGAGCCACCCTGCAGGTCACGTTTGCTTTTCTTTGTGTTATCAACTTGTAACTTGATTCTCTGGGTTCCCTCGCCTGCAGGGAACTGCAGGACCCTTTTATGGAAGGGTCTCTGACCGTCCCGCTGTCCCGCTCATTCTGCCCGCGCACCCCCGGCCACCCGGGGGCCGCCTCCCCAGCCCTCGGCCCACGCACAGACTCGCAGCCTCCCGGGAGAGGAGCCAACCAGCCCTGCAGTTTTGTGCATGACTCAGTCGTACCCACTGCTCACTGACTGGAAGGGCCTCATGGGTCCTTGCCACGTGTAATATTCTCTGACTGTTGAGAGCGGGGGTCTCTGCAGGTGTCCCTGCTGTCAAGGCATCAGTGGGGTAGGTTAGGTCTTTTATATACTTGTCAATTTTTTTTTTTTTTGGGATGGAGTCTCGCTCTGTCGCCCAGGCTGGAGTGCAGTGGAGCCATCTCGGCTCACTGCAAGCTCCGCCTCCCGGGTTCACGCCATTCTCCTGCCTCAGCCTCCCAAGTAGCTGGGACTACAAGCGCCCACCACCACGACCGGCTAATTTTTTGTATTTTTAGTAGAGACGGGGTTTCACCGTATTAACCAGGATGGTCTCGATCTCCTGACCGCGTGATCCGCCCGCCTTGGCCTCCCAAAGTGCTGGGATTACTGGCGTGAGCCACCACGTGCAAAACCCTACAGTGAATAGTAGAGTGACTGTAGCAATTCCTGCAAGGGTGATGTAGTGGATTATTTCCGTCTAAAATCTGAGTGGCCAAGACATAGCATTTCCCTTTGGGGGGTCTATGAAGTTCCTTGGTTTTATTTTTATTTTTATTTTTTATTTTTTTTTTGAGATGGAGTCTCGCTCTGTCGCCCAGGCCAGAGTATAGTGGCATGATCTCGGTTCACTGCAAGCTCCACCTGCCGGGTTCACGCCATTCTCCAGCCTCAGCCTCCTGAGTGAATAGCTGGGACTACAGGCACCCGCCACCATACCTGGCTAATATTTTTGTATTTTTAGTACAGACAGGGTTTTACCATGTTAGCCAGGATGGTCTCGATTTCCTGACCTTGTGATCCACCCGCCTTGGCCTCCCAAAGTGCTGGGATTACAGGCGTGAGCCACCGTGCCCAGCCCCGAAGTTCTTTGGTTTTATTTTTTTTTATTTTTTATTTTTTTTTAATTTTATTTTATTTTATTTTTTGAGACGGAGTCTTGCTCTGTCGCCCAGGCTGGAGTGCAGTGGCTGGATCTCGGCTCACTGCAAGCTCCGCCTCCCGGGTTCACGCCATTCTCCTGCCTCAGCCTCCCGAGTAGCTGGGACTACAGGCGCCCACCACCTCGCCCGGCTAGTTTTTTGTACTTTTTAGTAGAGACGGGGTTTCACCGTGTTAGCCAGGATGGTCTCGATCTCCTGACCTCGTGATCCGCCCGTCTCGGCCTCCCAAAGTGCTGGGATTACAGGCTTGAGCCACCGCGCCCGGCCTCTTTGGTTTTATTTTTCCAAACAGAGAAACCCCTGGGTTATGGGTACCCTACTCACTTTCCTTACCTGGCAGAATTTGCAGGAGAATTACCCGGAACTAGCATACTGATCCCGGTTTTTACATTACCCATCCCTTTCTGTTTCTTCCAAGCTGCAGGAGAGCACCACTTGGTTCACGGGAATAAGCAGGGTTGGTCTAAAATGTCAGCGAAAAGCTGAAAAACAATTCATGAGACTAGGATTTAATGGCAAATAAGTTTTGGGACACAATTTCTCTCTCCAGTCCTCATTTTTGGTAAAAACAAATTATGATAGGACCATGTTGTTTGTAGAATAAACTTTAGTCTTTTTTTTTTTTTTTTTTTTTTTGAGACAGAGTCTTGCTCTGCCGCCCAGGCTGGAGTGCAGTGGCGTGATCTCAGTTCACTGCAAGCTCCACCTCCCAGCTTCACACCATTCTCCTGCCTCAGCCTCCCGAGTAGCTGGGACTACAGGCGCCTGCCACCACTCCCGGCTAATTTTTTGTATTTTTTTAGTAGAGACAGGGTTTCACCGTGTTAGCCAGGATGGTCTCGATCTCCTGACCTTGTGATCTGCCCGCCTTGGCCTCCCAAAGTGCTGGGATTACAGGCGTGAGCCACCACGCCCGGCCTAAACTTTAGTCTTGTATGTGGCCTGATTATTTTCATGAAGTGCAGCAAAAATAATTATTTCCACATAGGTCTTTTGGACTGGCTTTGATGGACTCTATTCCACAAGGAATCTCAGATAAGACCACTTTGAGTCAAGCCCAGACATGGGTTTGGACCCTCAAACACCTGAGAGTTGGGGAATCCTTTTCTCTTAAGGTCCCACCATAAACTTGGAGCTCCTGGATGCGTTAGAAAGTGACATTCTTTACTGACCACAGGTTAGG